TGTAGCCCAAACCCACTATATCTACACAAGACGGTAGGTTCTAAACCTGAGTCTGACATCCTCTAAGCTCCGAGCGAAAAGGTGTTTGAAAACACGGCTGAATCCTAGTGACCCGCCGTTTAAGAGCTCATTTGAGAAACAATTGAGGGTTCTAGAATTCTAGAAGTTAATCCTGCGAATTAGGCTTTTGCATGTCGAAATAGAATTAGTACAGGGATATGAGGAGGTGTGGCTGCTTACTATATAGTCTTCTACTGTTGTCTGTTTGATAGCATTGTTTATACTATAAACTGTGAAATTTGCAAAAAGACGCCGAACTCAACGCGACTTAGAGCAGGTGCTTGTTCCGGGGCCGTGCGATATTGAAATCCCTGCGGGCGGATATTATCTATGGCGTCTGGTCATCCATAACCAAGCTTCATTCAACTCTAGCAACCTAAACCTTAACTCCTGAACTCGAAACCTAAACTCAGCCTGTGAGACCTATTAGATGAGGATGACAAACATCGTTCAACCCGAAAAATGGGCTGTAGGGTTTCGGAACCCAAAACCCAAACCCTGAATCCTAAACCTGAAACCTCGCTGCTGTCAGGGAACAGGGTCTTCGTCTCCGACGCGGCGTTCACATGAGCCATCAGCTCGGACTTGGCAAGTAAGGTTGCAGGGGCGGGGCCGTGGGATTACTACAGGGGCCTTAATATTTAATTAGAACAAGGTTTTGGTATATACACTATAGTTCTAATAAGGCCCAGAATAAAACTAAAAAGGCTGAAAGTCTACGAATTCCACGGAGGCTATATGGTTCTAGATCCTCGACAGCAGCTAGGCGAACCGAATGGGAGTTGCAAAACATCAGGACGCACAAGAGACGCCATCTATCTGCCTGCTTCTCTGACGTGTATGTGAATGAGGCTGCTTTCGTCGAGTCTTCTGTAATGGCGATGTTAAAATGAATATTGTGCGCACCTGTAGTGTCTGCACCTACTGAGCCTACGGACCTATCTGCCCAAACATCGATCGATCTATCTACACATCTACATACCGATGTGTCTGTCTTCCAGTCAGTCAGTCAGTCTGCACGTCCGTCCGTCCCTCCGTCTGTTTGTCTGTCTGTATGTAGCATATATGTATGTGTGTAATTGTGTATGTATGTGTGCATAGATGCACATGCACACATGAACGCTTGTACATGTGAGCTCATCTACTTACCTGTTCACATCGATAGCTATTTGCCTACGCCACCTTCGAAGGAAAACCAAATTCGCGAGAGGGATTCGAATCATTGAAGAACACCGCATTGCAAGACCTCTAAACTCTGAAGCCCTGCGCGACTAACTCCGGTAAAACCCTATAAGGCCCTGTAAGCACACCCTTTTGCGGCACTTGTAAACCACCCGAACATCCGCCCTGTCAAGTGCCCCACAAGGCGGCAGCGCAAGCGAGATACGGCTTGGATGGTCCTTAGCCAGGACGTTACGGATTCGCCAAAACGGCCACAGCAGGGGTATGCTATGTTGTCATATTTATGTATAAAGTTATAATTAAATAGATAAATAAACATATATATATATATATACACATACACACATTCATATTTGTTTATACATATGTTTGTACACATGAATATATGCATTCACATATTTACATATATCTGTATAAAGGAACCCCGAAAACAAGGCATTGACTACTTATTCAGGTCCGAAATTCGGGTTTGTAGGTGTCCATTTTGGTTGTGTTCGCTTCTGTGGTGGGGAGTTTCGTGTTCATGGTTGGAATGTCGCGTTTAGGACTTATGATTTAATAGGTAGCGGCAGGTAGCGGCGACCTAGGAACGCATCTACCCGAACCCGACGGTTTGAAGGGTTAGGTAGGGGTTCAGGGGTGGTTGCGACTGAAGATACGCCAGCTGAGTACCTGACATGTCTGAAGCGCTGGGGTCGAGTCACGAGAATCCAGGAGGAGTTTGAGCCAAGTTCTTCGGCAAGCATGTGTAGATGCGTGTAGGGTTTGGGCATTTCGGAGTTCAGGTGGCTCTCGGGATTGCGGGTTGGCCTTGGAGCCCACCCTTGCGAAAACTGTGCAAGGCAAGCAGCATGGTGCCCTCCACACCCCCAACATCTTTCCTTGCCAAAGAATTCCGGGCTCTACCCATAGGCCAAGAACCTACAAGCCGAGAGTTCCTTACTTTTGACATAAAAACAAGGTAGGCTCCTTGAGCTTCAGGACAGGCCAGGTCTGGATTCCACAGCTTTACCCTAAGCACATAGGAAACGGTGACATTTCGAGTCTGAATGTTGTGCCTTTCTCAAGAGGCATCCCTGCGTGATCCCAACGTCATCTCTGCCGAGACATTTTACCACTTGTTCTGTCGAGCTGGGGTAGTTCTTTGCCCCACAGAGCACCGCAAAGAAAGCATGCCGGACTATCGACTCTGCACCCTGCACCCCCAACTCTCAAATCCTGCTTGGGAGAACGAACGGGACCCTGAGCTTCGAATCCTTAGCCTCGCATGCAACTCTTCAGCCGCATCCCTGTCGAATTCCACGCACATCGGATGCGCTGCGTCTTTGACAAGCGCTGCAGTTGCAGCTTTCCTGACATCGAGGTCTATGCGCTTGCAGGATTTTGAGGATTACAAGCCTGTGGGTGCAAGTACACAGTTGTTTCTACAAGACACAAATGAAGCTGGATGCGCATGCGGCATGAGAACAGCAAGCATCACATGCGCACCAGGTCATTGTAATGGTGATGCTGATTCTGCTTTTGCTTCTCCTGCTCCTTCTAACTATTGCATAAGCAAGCATCACATGCACACCAGGTCATTGTAATGGTGATGCTGATTCTGATTTTGCTTCTCCTGCTCCTTCTAACTATTGCATAATACTTACTACTTAATACATACTACTTCCTACTTACTACTTACTACATACTGCTTACTGCCCACTACTCACTACTAACTCCTACGACTACTACTACTACTACTACTACTACTACTACTACTACCACCACTACTACTACTACTACTACTACTACTACTACTACTACTACTACTACTACTACTACTACTACTACTACTACTACTACTACTACTACCTACTACTACCTCCTACTACTACTACTACTACTACTACTACTACTACTACTACTACTACTACACCTTTACTACTTTACTACTTTACTACTTTACTACTTTACTACTTTACTACTTTACTACTTTAATACTTTACTACTTTACTACTTTACTATTTTACTACTTTACTACTTTACTACTTTACTACTTTACTACTATACTACTACTACTACTACTACTACTGCTGCTACTACTACTACTACTACTCCTACTACTACTACTACTACTACTACTACTCCTACTACTCCTACTACTCCTACTACTCCTACTACTCCTACTCCTACTCCTACTCCTACTCCTAATCCTACTACTTTACTACTACTACCACTACTACTACTATATACTACCACTACTACTACTACTACTACTACTACTGCTGCTACTACTGCTACTACTACTACTGCTACTACTACTGCTACTACTACTGCTACTATTGCTACTACTACTACTGCTACTACTACTACTGCTACTACTACTACTACTACTACTACTACTACTACAATAATAATAATAATGCAACCCCCTAACGACTCGTAAAAGCCTTATACACACCCTAGAAAATCACATCTCTATTCAAACCACAACTGCACGGCTTGTAGCAGCGCGAGGTCATTGACTTCCAACGGCCTGAGGGCTGGCAGGGTCTAGAGGGGGTTTGCAGACTTCTTCCGGCATCATTGTAAGGCATCGAACTTTTAGGAAATGTTGGTAGCAAGTCGCGGCAGTAGGCGTCCAACTTGAAGAGTTCAGGGATCGTTAGGGAAAGGTTTGGACGTTTTGAAGGGCTCTCTCATGTTCAGTGCATTGAGAGGCTTTGTGGTTTAGGGGATAGGGATCAAGGTTCCAGGTGCTTTAGCACGGTGTTGTGAGTTATCTAGACTTGTTTGTATGAGGTGCTCTGAACGATCGGAACCCTAACCCTCAACCCTGTGTCCTATGGGGCGTAGGGGACCTAAGGCTCTCGGGCTTCAGGGTTTAAGTTTGCGGCTTTGGATTTACGGGTTTGGGGCTTTAGATGGTTTTATGCTTGGGAGGTCAGGTTCTGGTTTGAGGTGTAAGTGCTTCCATGACACCGGGGAGAAGGAACCAATAATCGTTGGCTTCAAGACCGCTCGGAGTTTAGATTGTAGGGTTAAGGTTGTTGTGAGGTTGAAGCCTGCAAATACACGATGTTGGCCATGTAAGGGTCCCTTAGAAAGAGAGGCCGGTCATAAGTACCCCAAGCATTGGTAACTCAAGATCCTCGACCCCAAGCAACAAAGCACAATGCGGTCACAGCATCTATCCGTGTTTCAGCTTCCAGCTCTTCTTGGCTTTACCCTCTCGGCTGCGCCAACCCAGAATAGGCACAATAGTTTTAAGGACCCTGTAAACTGTATCACAGCAACAAAAAGGAAACATGGTTCCTACAGGACCGACAGGGTCAGTGTCCTTTCGAATACCACCCGTTCACGGGTTCGATAAGACCCTAAAAAGCCGCCACTTGCAACCATAACCCTTGACAGGACAAGCTAGAGATTGAACCCTAACAAATGCCAACCTGCGACGCGTGAGCAATCCCCAATCCTTCGGAGGTTGATTGTGGGTTAGGGCCTACGGTTAGGGCTTGTCGGATCTACATCAGGAAATATTACTTTTCGTGTATGTATCTCAGTATCGCCAAGCCTACTTATTGCCCTTTGCATACTACATGCCCTCAAGTCCTGCTTCATAAATCAGGGATCTACCGTCTACATTACTCTAATCCCTAAAAGCCCTAAAGCCCGAAAACCATACTCGAATGTAGGGCAGCCCATGAATCGGCGATCTACATTTTGTCGATGAGCGGCTCACAGGTCAGCCCACTTTGCCTCGCGAACGAATCGAAAGGTCACGCTGCAATTTGCCGGCGTAGCACCTGTTAGGATTTAGGGTTTGGCAACCCAGAGCTGCTTGGAGTTCAGATTAACACCAGCGGGGGTTGGATCCATGGTTAGAGGTCGGTGCTGGCGAGTATACCCTTGGAGCCGTGCTCTTGTCCGAAGTACCGAGAAGAAAAAACTGTGCTTTGCATTGGCTGGGCCGGAGTTCCCGTTCGGGGTACGGCTCAGTGAGGGTGAGGTTAAAATAAAGGATGTATGAATGGCTCAAAATAAGTAGCTAGGACCAGCATTGAGTAACCACAGAAAGCTACTGCGATTGCGATGCTGTCGGGGTGCAGAGGTGGTGCAGACTTTTCTGAGACGCACATGTGCCGCCAGCACAGCCACCCGGAGCCACTTACGTCAACTAGCTTCGTTCAACTGACAAGACTAATTATAGACACCTAAACAAGTCGACTAGGAGTTTCTACACTGTGGGTGTGAAAGGAACTACTTAAGGAATGAGGTGCCGACAAAGCCGTGAACAAAAAACGCTGCGCAAGCCACCCCCGAAATCCCATAAAACCCTATGATGAACAATTAGGATGCCGCAGCCCATGTACAACAGCACCAAACAAAGAAGTCAAATCCCCGGCTCAAGATACGCAGAGTCCTGAACCTACAAATGTAGTCCCTTGTTGGGCTGCTTATCTGGACTACAGTTCGGGCCTAGGTAGGCTTTAGACTGCAGCGGCAGATGACCGAGTCTACACTTCTAAACACCAAACTGGAAAGCCCAAGCCCCACAGAAATCCTCGACCCTAAACGTAGTGCCTGCTCCAGCTTCAAGGGCAAGCCCAGTCGAGGCCAGTCCTTTTGGAGTAAGCGGAGTGGGACATTTAGGTGACTGCCGTAACAAGTTAGCTGCATGTCAATGTATGCATGTGTACATATATATATATATGTAGTGAAAAGCTACACCGAAATATAATTGGATACAGTTATTCAGACCCGCAATATGACTGAGCAGCAGAAAACTACGACAGTGGTCTGAACCATACCGCTTCCTTATGTACTGAAACCCGCACCATTCTAACTATTCAGGCCACAACATACGTGGACATCGGTCAACGACTCTACTCTGTCCAGGTGCTGACCTATGCATTCGGACCAGAGGGCTTCACGAAGCCCCGGACACCCCCACCCTCACCCCAACTCTGAACCAACAACCCAAGGAACTCTAGTCCCTAACTTAGGGTTCAGGGTTTAGGGATCGAGTCCCGAAGCCCAATATAGCCCCATAAATCCTTAAAGCATCTTCAACCCAAGCCCTAAACAGAAGTCCGATTCTCTCCCCAATGCTGAAAAGTGGGTCAGTCAACTAGCAACAGTCTCCCCTTGAAGTCCCATATACTTCTGCCTTCTTTTACTCTGAAACCTTATTCCACCTGTTCAGGCCCCCCGCCCGTATTCTAACTAACACGGCCCGCCCCCGGCTACAGCATTAGTCAGCGTGCCCTGCCAGTTCGCAATCTTCAACATAAGCGTAAGGCGTAAGGGCCTGAGGATCCCAAATAAAGCCACCCTCATGGTCATCGTGAGCGCCACCGGACCTTCGTGAGTTGGTCCGCTCACAGAGAAGACTCAAAATACCGCAGACACGTTGCTTACCGACCTCTTCTCGAGACCGCTTGTCGGATGTCCGACATCGATGTACCTCGAAACGGCTTTGACGTTCATCGTGATCGCAAGCTCGCCGGGGATCGGCTTAGTAAGCAGCGCCTGCGGCTCATCACTCAAGTCGTGAGTTCCTGCGCTGGGCACGGTCAACAGTGGCTCGTGCCTCACATCTTGCGTGTGTCGTGAGAGATGGCATCGCGTGCGCCTTCAAAACGACGTCGCTTCCGATGATATCACGCTGCACACGGCATACAACTAGCCACGCGTGCGGTTCCTGCACAGTTGTCTGATTCTCCGCGGCAGCACCCAGAACAGAGGCTAGCAGCTACCACTTGGGATTCGTGCAAGAGCTCCCCTTCCGGCACTCAACTAGGCACTGACTCAAAATATCATATTTTTGGAGCCACATGCAAACCCTTAAGCCTTCAGTCAGACCGAAAAGTTTAGGGAGTCGTATTTTTACGGTACCCTCAACCGTAAACACAAGCCCAGCGCAAGGCCATGGCCACACTGTTCAGCTGCTTCAGATCCGAAACCTCGACGCCATGACTTGAAATGACGGAACTTCATATGTAAGGGTTCTGTGAGTTAAGGTTAGATCACAATTCTTGAAGATACAAGGGACCTGGAGAATGCCAATACACAGGGCCATTGAATTTACATACCTTCTGTTGGGTGCTATAAAGGCTTTCCACTGGCTTCAGTGGTTAGTAACGGTTAGTAAGGGCCTGAATGATAAGAATAGGGTATTGGGGGTAGAATGCTTCATGTAGGGACTTTACGGGTGTAGAATTGGGCTCGGAGTGTCAGGACTTAGGGCTGCAGAGGAAAACAGGGTGCAAGCTAAGACCATTCACGTTCACCAAGCCTAAACGCCTGGGATGACCACAAGTCCCAAACCCTCGTAGCAGTACGGTCCTATTAAAAGTATAGAGAATATAGCAATGCACCAATGTATAATCATAAATAACGTAGCTAAAAAATGCAACAAACTGAAAACATGGTCATGTATCCTAGAATGACTCATGACCCAATCCTGTATCGCTTACGGCTGTCGGCCATAAACCTAAACCCTAAGCTTTTATTAGGTTGTAAGGATCCCCTGTGTTCTATTCAGCAAGCTTCAGCTTCCAAACAGCCCTGTTGTGAGCACAGGCACGCCAGGGCTCGCAAAAGCTTAGGGGTTTAGGGATGAAGTGATCAGGGTGTTGGGGATCAGGGTTTAGGGGTTTTGGGTTTGTGGACTCAGGGCTTAGGGTTGAGGGTTTAAGTGCTGACAGTTTAGGGTTTATCAGGGTTTAAGAAGGTTTCAGGGTTTAGAGGTTCAGGCTTTAGGTTCCCAGCCATGTATTATGTCACTCATGCCCTAAACCCTAAACCCCAACCCATTATTCTTACCTTCGGTTTGTAGGGAATGGAGGAATGGGGTACAACTATGACTACTATTACTACCATTCTTCCATTCCCTACTGACCCAAGGTAGGTATTTAGGTAACTGGAGCCCCAGAATGACCCGAACACCCTAAACAGTGAACCGCCTTTCTCACAGGGACAGGGCATCCTGAGGCTACAATGTATAGGGTTCCTTTAAGGGTTGCCTGAAAAAAGATCTGAAAGGGTTTCAACAAGGACTTTGTAGGGTTTTCCAACTAGGGGCCTTAATGATTGGAAGAGGGGCGTGCGGCTTGTGCGTATATTCTAGTAAACTCTATAAAACAGTGAGGAATCGTATTTCTTCAGACTGTTGTAGAACCCAATTAAGCTTATCAAACCCTATGAACACATTATTGTCAACCCGAATGCAACCCTAGGCAGACCCCTGCAAAGTATTGAGGCCGGGGGGCCGTTGTGATCCAGTGCTCCTGCGCCAGACGTTTGGACTGGCGAAGTAGCTCTGCCTCGCCGTGTAGTAGTCATGATGTTGGCATTCGGGCTTTAGGATGTAAGACGACTTAGAGTTGTAGGGTTTAGGATAGTGCAGATAGTTTAGAGTTATAGGCTATAGCGTTTAGGATGATTTAAAAATTTAGAGTTATGGGGTCTGGAGAAGAATGAAGGAGCAGGCAAGTCGAGGGCTTGACAAGTTACTGCCATCATCTGCCATCTAAACCTTAAATACAACAGCGAAATTATGGCGGCATCACCAAGAAGCAGCTCCCAAGCGAAAGGTACTTGTAGGATTTTGGTGCCTTATACCCCAAAACCCTACTCTAACCATTAAGGCCTCTATGTTCAGTAGCCTGCGCTAACTGCTAACTACCGAAGGCCCAGTCAACGCAACTCTCAGCCCATGGGCACCAACTGCAAGGGCACAAGAGGCGCAAGAATCCGCCAGTTCGAAAATCCAGGATTGGCATGGATCTGACCAGGGTCCGCTTGCACGGGATCATGGTCTAGACCGGATTGTTCCCTTCGCTGGAGCGGAGTGGCGGAAGCCGCGCCCAACTCCCAGACTGCTTGACGAGTGCGGTTCCGAAGACCTGACGAGTTGTCCTGGAAATTCCGCTCCTCGGCGAAGGTAATCAGCTCCCGGTAGGCGTAAAATTGCAGGTGAAGTCCAGTTGTTTCAACGGGTACTGATCTGCAGGACTTGCAGATTGAGACTTGAGTCACTTGAGTTTCAAGAGACACGCCCGTTCAGCTTGCATCTCCCTCGAGGTGCTCTGGACTTTGCGTGTTCGTCTGAATCCGGGTCTAAGGCTCTCGAGGCAAAGACTCCTGGATACTCCTGGATTCTAGCCGATCTGCAGGAGATCAATTCGCTGAGAAACCGAGAAATGCGAAGGGACGTAAGCAGCAATTTCGCTGCTTGATTAGCATCACGTGACGCGCAGCCGCGATGGCTTCTCAATAATGCGTAATGTAGTGAAGTGACCGTCACCAAATCAACACAAACATCGCAGGCAACAGGAGAACAGGGCTCGGGCAGCGGAAGTCGTAGCGGTGGCGGCAACAACTGTCACCGCTCACAGCAGCAGCGGTGGCCAAGGTGAAAACGGGTTCAAAAGATCAGCATCAACGTCAATCACATCTGACATCCCTTCCATCAACCACAAAAGCAGTGCAGCGAGACGCAAAAGAACATCACGCACCTAAACCCTCTACCCCAAACCTGAAAGCCGTAAAGCACGATGTTGATGCTGTATCATGTAAGCAAGGCTTGGTGGTCTAGATTTTAGCCCAGAGCTTCGGACTGAAATCCTAAAGACCTCTTCCCTACATCTATGTGTTGGAACCCAGATCCTAACGCTCAAACTTCTGAACCTAAGGACTTAAACACTGAAACCCGGCACCTATAGTCGAACCCAGGATCCTAACTCCCAAACTTCTACTACACATCTAAGCCCTACATACATTACTAACCCAGCGCCTTAACTCCCAAAAACGTCTAATCCGACTCCCTTAACGTTGGGGATGTGGAACCCAAAACCTTCGAACCGAGAAACCTAACGCCAAAAGCTTCTAGTCCGGAAGCCTCATACCCAAAGCTTCCAGGGAGCTTATATGACTGGGCCTTTCAGATTTCAGGGGTCTATAGGGCCCTAACTATACGGTCCTAGGAAGCATTGGGAAAACTTCGAAAGCCTGGGGTCGGGGACTCAAGTAGCCTCTGGCCGGCCCACCAGGGACGCTAACTGCTGCAAGACCTCAGTCGTCTCTGCTGTGTCAAGATTTATTGCTTAGGATTTCGGGTTCAGGGTAATAAGCGGTCTCTATGTAGGTATTGAAAGTTCGATGTTTCTCAGTCGTCTCTGCGCTTCAAGGCTTAGGAATTTGCTTTCTGTAGTGTTTGACGGCCCTCAAAGAGGGTCTGGGGTGTGGGATCTAAGGGGTCACGGGCTTGTGGGATCGAGGGTTCAGAAGTTCAGAGTTGAAGGTTTGGGGCTGTTGCATGAGTGAGACTTTCCCAAATACATACGTTAGGCTAAAGAACCCAGAAGTGTTGTCTGCCACGAGCGTTGCAATGGGCTGATCTTTTCTGCCTACAAGCGTCTTGGAATCCCCTGAGAACTGGTACTACCACAGATGATGCTACGAAATAAGTTGGACAGATGAGGCTTTCAGGTCACAGCAGTCTGGACGAGATCCTGGAGATTCATTAGGTCATCTCCAATTCAAACGCCACTGCCTGTCCCAATAACCAAATGGAGCGGTGGCACAGCATCATCTTCGTGGTCGTGAGTTTTCGTTGCTGGCTTAATATTCGCAGCACATACTGGAAACTATGCTATGAGCGAGGCAAAGTAGGAGTAGCCATCATCGCTACTTGGGTAGGGCTGACGGTACACGAAATGCAGCTGGAACGACCGGAAGGCACGCAGGTACAGACATGGAGGCGCGCAGGTACAGACATGGAGCAAGCTTGCTTCTTTCTCTGCAGCCGTCAGCAGTTACCACTCACAGCCGGGTTGCACACAGATCTGCCCATATGCTGCCTGGTTGTATACATATGCCCGCATCCTAGATAGCAAGCGGCCGCATTTCGCAAAGATCACAAGAATGAGAGCAGGGCAATCCTGACTGGCATCGATCACAAGCTGATGTGCCAATCAGTTCGTGGAGGTCTCCAACCCCGTCCGTGCAAGTGTCTCAGAAATTGTGAAAACAATGTACCACCAGACACAGCATAGGCAGAAGCTTGCCTGCGACAGCTCATCTTTGACAAGCGCACAGTATGTCTTGTACCATATTTGCGCAAGGCTTCCTGTACGTCTTCCAAACTTCCTTTACCTAAAGTCACATGCCTAGGCTGACCTTCCCAGCAAGTACCACGCAGCGTGTGTAGCGGAGTGATGTTGGGAAGGCCTTCGTGTCCTGCCCTCTTGCGAATCGCCAAGAAGTACTCATCACCACGCCGTCCATCTCTGAAAATACCCGGAAGTACTGTAACAGTGTATGTGTGGGACCTGGCGATCACGTTTTTGTCATGCCAGCTGGCAATGGCGACAGACTGAACGGCCTTGTCCGGCGAAGGCTTGTCAACCTTCCTCAGTTATCCATGTCCAAGACAGCGAAAGTTTGAACTTGCTTCGTGCTGTGACTGTACGATTACAACTTACAACTTCAACTGCTATGCCAACAGAGCCTCCTGCTGTAAACAAGGGTGCGAATCTTTCCTCTTCGCCGCAGGCATCCCATCCTTCGCGCCCCACAGCTGTTCGTCTGGGCTACAGGCTAGAGCCATTGGACGAGGCTGCGGTTACAAGAAGACCCCTCGGGTCTTAGTAGCAATACGCGAAATGTTTCTCCACGGTAATGGCACCCAAACCCATCGGAAAGAACAGTCCGCTGCTTGTTCATCATCGTGCGAAGCCCCTCCAGTCTGAGCCACTGGCCACGTCCAGGCTTTGGCGCACATCCACCTGGTGCTCAAGGCGATCGTGGCTTTGGTAAGATTGAAAAACTTTTAAAGGGTTTACGGATCAAGGGTTAACCTGTGCTACTAATTGTCAGTGTCATAGAACCCAGTAAGGAGTTCATCTTATGAGCCTAAGGTGCAGTGTTAGAACCTGAACATAGACCCCAAGCCGATGAATTTTCTTATACAATTGAGGCATTGTGACACGCCTGCAAAACTGGGGTGTCGAGGTGGAATTCATGCTACCTGTCCTTGGGTTTAGGTGTTAAGGTTGCGGTTTAGAGTTGGGGTTTTCAATTCTTGGGTGTGGGGCTTAGGGTTGATAAGGCTTAGATACAGATTGGGCGTTTTGGTCTTAAAGGTTTGCAGATTTACCTTGCCGCGGTGGCCTCCACGAAATCAGAAGTACCGGAAACACACGTATCTCACATGGATCGTGCTCACCCCTCGGCTGTAAGCAAGACACGAACCCTCCAACGTTAAACCCTCAACACGTCGCTTCCTCTCCTTCAAAAGCACGTGCGCCTCGATGGAATCTTCGGGACTTTTGTTCTGGCTCGCACCCTGGCTCTCCCGTGTCAAGTACGCCTGAGGTCAAGGCTTACGGTTCAGGATTTAGGGATTATAGATTTAATTATATAAGGCTTGGGGCTTGGCGCGAGTTTTCGCGGGCTTGCCTTGAACTAGGTATCCATCGTTCCCTATCTGTACATATGCTATAAGAATTTAGAAGTACTGGTTTGGGTGTAAGCCAAGATTAACCCGAGTCCTTGAAACCCATGCCATGGCAGTATGTATGCATATGCCATATATATATATATATATATATATATATTACTTTGTGCACACGACAATCGTAGTAAGTTAACTTATTCCGAAGGCAATAATCATAACCCCCATACGATCAGACTCTGTTAAGGGATGAGCACGGGCGGAGGCTTCAGGACTTGCCCGTGACGTGCTTTAGGATGTCAGGGCTGCATAGGGATTCTAGGTTGTTTTCTTCAGCTTTATATGTAGCTGCGGCTTGTGGCTTCCGGGTTTCGGGCTCCAACTTCCTCTGTTGGGCTTATACCATACACCCTAGAAGTAAGCAGCTGGTATGGACTTAATATGATGTGGTGATGAAGTAGGCGGTTTGTGCATGGTTCAGGTCGTATGCGTTTAGTTTAGCACAGCCTAGCTTCAGAAGCTCGGGCCAGGGGTTGAAGCGCGAAGGCTCAGGATTTAGGGTGTAGAGTTTTTGCATGTGGCTCCAAATCCGACCCCGAGCCCTCGACCCCGACCGTGATTCTGAGATGGCCTCGAACCTGTGTATAGGCAGAGGATCCAAGTAACCGTATGAAACATAATTTTGGGATCCAAATTTCTACTAAGAACCTACTATTTTAGTACTAGGACCCTTCAGGTAACGGGAGCCACGGGAAGAAAAGAGGGTCGAGGGTTGTCTAGGTCTAGGGAGTGGTTTCCTGAGCTCGTAGATGCCGAGCTCTCCCGACACCAAGAAAAGCTGTAAAACCATTCTTGCGGCAGCACTCTCTCTCTCTCTCTCTCTTGCGCTCTCCCTCTCTCGCTCTCTTACTGTATATAGTTATATGTATATACACATATGTATATATACACACATAACATTCAAGTCTTGATTACCAAGAATTCAAACAACTATCTCGCTCGCTCTCTCTCTCTCTCTCTCTCTCTCTCTCTCTCTCTCTCTCGACATACACATAGATATACATATATACACGTACTTGTTTGCTTGCTGAGTATATGGTAGCGATTATCTACCACGAAGCCTTATACTGCAACCCACGACATTGTCTTGCTAGGAGCCTCTATGAGATTGAACTTCCGCCACGTTCTCGCGCCCGAAGCATTCATGACTGCAGTCATCACAGATGTATGTGTGTGACTTTCCAGGAGCCTTGAACAAATCATTCCAGCAGGGTAATTCTACTCTCGTATATGACTCTGTAGACGACACTCCCTGGACCTCCAGTTGCTAAAAAAAGGTGTAATTAAAGACCACAGCTAATGTAGCCCGGTAAAGAAACCCTAAATAAAACCAAAACTTATGGCAGCTCCTGTAGCTTCGCATTCGGTCATCGCAGGGAAGCTTGGCGCTTGCGATCGACAAACCACCGATGTTCAGGATTTCATCCGTCTCCTTCCAGCATCGACTCGCTGCCAGTTGTCTCTTGTCGTGGGCCTTGCCTCTAGTTTTCGCCGTCGAGGGCAGACGAAGTTTCCTGCTTCCCAGCTTCATTCTCGGATTTAGGTATCAGGGTTTAGGGATAAGGTGGTTGATGGCAGTTGCTGCAGTGAGCCGCTGAGACAGTTGAGCTTCGTGGTGTATCGGGTGAAACAGTCACTGATTGTGGAGCAGGGATCTGGTTCCCCCTTAATCCGACCTAAAATCCTAAAGACCCGCGTTTGAAGCTTCTAGAGCCCTAAACTCCACATCCCTAAACCGCATCGCACAACCCCTCCAAATGCTAAACTGCTAACAGAAAACTGAGCCCAGGCCTTGAACTCGTCAAACGAGACGACGCCGTCTTGCGAAGTGTCTAAGTCCTGTAATGCCTCGCAGCAGCCAGGAGACTTTATTTTAGGAATTGCCTGGGGTTTGTGTCCACTTTGGTTCATAGCCACGCCTGTGTCCCGGCGATGGGTTCCACTTCTAGAAACTTGCTTCTGGAACACCTTGTTCCAACAGCCTACAACAGAAACAGGGTCCAAAGTACCGAGTGATAAGGTACTTGGTCGAGGATACTAGTAAATTAATAAGCTGGAGGAGTGTAAGATTATGGGGTACATGGACCCTGAGGGCATGCCAAAATGATAAAGCTCAGGCCAACACCGAAGAAAGGCCTAAAGCCTGCATCCTAATCCTTACCTGCTCGGTGGCTGGCGGCGTGTGCGCAGAAAGGTATCGAGGCTTTTGTCATGTTTTGGTTCGTTGGCTTGGGATTTTGAGAAGTTTTTGCAGTGTTGTCGCTCGTATTTGTATGTATGTATTAGGGACGGGGCCGGGAAGGAGTGTTATTTTTCAGGATTTGTAATTTGGTTTTGCAAACATTGAAAGTGCTGCCACAGGTGTTTGTGCTGTATAGGGGCCTGAATAAACAGGCATAGGCTATTCCTACGTTCCCCGGTGCATGGGCATTTGCATGTGCATGTAGTTCTACATGGCCATGTAGATGTGAGAAGGAGTACATACTCTCGCAGGTGTAAATGCACGCGCTGCATGCGTTCGCATTCTTCTGCTTACGCAATTAAGAAAAGTTCTAAAACGCAGATCAAGGCAGTGAGCTGAATGGGTGGTGAGGTCTGTCTGTATGTAGCACCCAGACACATGTAGGCTTTAACAAACCTTCGCAGACAAAGAACTCTGAATCCCCTCCCCTCCTTCCCCAGTTGGGAGTCTCCGAAAAGTAGTCATACCATGTTTCGGTGTCCTCATAATAAGGATCCTACTATCCGGTTCATGGTCGGGACAGGGTTGAAAATATTAAGTTGTATTCCTTATTGGGTTTCAGTACACATCAACACGTCAAATGTTACCCAACTATGACAAAGTATTTAGGGCTACTACTAGGTTCCCCAGTATCCCCTTAACAACAAGGGTACCCTTTTCCTACTACTTGGTTTTAATAGGGGAACCCAAAGGCAAAAAGGGTAAAAGGGTACTACTGGGGACCAGAGATCGATGCCTGCTCCACTGTCTTCCCATCTGGCAGAACCTTGCTCTCCATACTGCCCAGGGTTTAGGTTTGTTGATTTTGTTGAGCCCTCTTTTTTGAGCCCTCTTTTGAGGGTTTAGGGTTTCGGGTTCAGGGTTTCGGGTAGCCAAGAAAGGTTGAGGAAGTAGGGTATCTTAGCAGTGTTGTTGGATTTAGGGTACCCACATGCGGGTTGGAGGTTTGGGGGTAGCTAAAAAGAGTTTGGGCTTACGGTAACTAACAAGGGTTTAGGGGTTGCAGCAGGGGCAGGGTCCAGGGGACGAATGCGTACTTAGAGCAGGGTTCTGGAGGGGTAGTATATTCGACTCTGACACTTCTTTGGGCAATGCCTGGATACAGCAATAGTCCGTATCAGGGGTACCTTTAAGGCTTCAGGGGCCTCACATAGTTGTGTAACTGTTTAACAGTAGCAGTTGCTGAGTGGGGGGGAAGCATCCAGTCCATACTGCCCTATAATATTCCACGCAACTGAAACTTAGGACAAGGCGTTGGGGTATATTAAGCTGGAATTAGAAAGAGGAGCCCCAAGTATACATCGATAGTCGTAGACTTGCTCCAATACGAACCTGCGCATCCCTGACCCCTAAACTGCAACCTACAGAACCTGATTACTCGGCACTTTGGACCCTTAGGGAAGGCTCGGGCTCTCGGTTTCAAGCGTCACTTAGGGTTTAACGTTTCGGGTCTCAGGAACTAGAGGCAAATTCTTCTGTAAGCATCCAGCATCTTGGGGTAAAGATCCAAATGCCTCATGTCATATGCACGTATCATATACCAACCTCCAGGCCGACTAGCCTGAACCCCAGTACCCTAAGCCCCGTTTCAACCCTTAGATTAGTTACCTAATTATTGGATCCTTTGGACCCTCAGGCAGTGAGGCCGGAGGGTCTCAAAAGAGCTTTCGGTGCATGGAGCAGGAGGGTTCGGGTTGAGAGTTTTTGTTTGGTTTAGGAATTTTGGGCTGAGGGTTTAAGGGTGGAGGGGCTGAAGGGTTTAGTGGTTGAAAATCGAGGGTTTGGGGCTTCCGGAGTTTCGGGGTTTGTGCTGTAAGGCTTCAGGGAGACCACAGCAAGCGGTCTTGCTCAGAGTCATGGCTCTCCGCTTTGGTCAGCTGGTTTTGGGGCTGTTTGGATGGGATCTCTTAGGTTGCAGGTCGGTGTTTTGCCCCTCCCCCCGCGCTCAAACGGCAACCGCGTCGTGCCGGCCACAGACACTTCTCTGAACCCTAAGCCCTTCATTCTCAAAGGCCTAATCAGCTACTGCAAAGCCGTATCCCACCCCTAAAATCTCTCATCAAGCCCCTAACGTGTACCTCGAAACCCTATACACTTGGCAATAACGTGCACGGCAACCGCTTTGGAAAACGTGCACAACAGCCTGCGCTCTCAAAGCCCGGGGACGCCCAAAGAGTCCACGAAGAATGGATAGTGCACGGGCCTAAAATAACAACTCCTATAGTAAATTCACGGTCTACGGTTCCCAGTAGGTTCGTGCAACGACCTTGCCCGAAATAGTTAATTTAAGGTACTGGTATCTACTATACTATATAGTTATACTTGCAATAAGTAAGTGTGTGTGTGTGTGTGTCTCTGTGTGTGTGTGTGTGTCTGTGTGTGTGTGTGTTTGAATGCATCTGTGTGTGTGTGTGTGTGTGCATGTGTACATATATATATATATATATATATATATACGGGAACGATACGGGCTGTTGTAGGTTCTTCTTACTGATTGTTCCTACCTCTCTGCCGGATGCACTAAACTGATATCCTAAAGACTAAAGATTCTCCATCTGAGGTTCTATGACAGAACGGAAGCACTGGCACCTGCGTGCGGTGGACACTGGAATGGCGGGACAACAAAGACTGCTGCACACTGGCAGGCTTCTACACCCTAAGCCCCTCAGCCGGTGGGATAAATTTTGTAAACCATATTGTGGCCTGATTATATGGGGTTCGTGGGGGCCTAGAATTCGTAGTACATATACATACATATATATATATATATATTCTGGCTTCAATACTAGGACTCTTTGGGCAAAATTGATCTCCCATTCCTTGCTGCACACTCTTGTTCAGAATGTCAGCTGCTACAATACCGTGCGTCGGACGAGGCAGCTTCCATCAAGCCGTGAAGCTTAAATCGCAAATGAAGCTAGGAGCCCACCATCAACCATCCTAGACTCACGTTCATGCCCAAACGACTCAAACCGAAATCACAGCCCAAACATCACAACCTGAAAACTTAACCCGGCACTCATATACCGTTGAGACCGAGGTGGTCAGTATGCAAAGGGCTAACGACTAACTGAACTGAAGATTTGAGCTTGGGGTTGCGGGGGTTTAGGGTGGAGGTTCCTTGTAAAGTGTAAGGATTAGGAATTAAGGGCTCAGGGCTTACAGAGTGTTTAGGGATGAGGGATGAAGGTTTAGGGTCTAGGGCTTGCTGCCTCACGACCGGCGATAGTTTCAGGGGGATCTGCAGCATCTTGCAGCATCTTATCTTTGACAAGTCAAGAGTCAGAGTCGTAGCCACGGCAGCCACCAGATCTTTCTGTGGCCTAAATTTTGGCACAAAGGCCGGAAGAGGTGCTACAGGGTTCCTGTAGCAGCAGGTCAGACACCAGATACAACCTCCGAAACGCTCACTACTCTCATAGGGTTCAGTGTTTTGGGTTTTTGGTTTCGTTGCCATGTTGCATAACATAGGTGCCCTCTACATTCAAGATTGGAATGCGACGGATTCAACCTCCATACTACAAGCTAAACCAATACTCTTCCACAGCATTCCTAGCAGAAGTTTAGTTTGCCAAGAAGCCCTTGTGATAAAGCAACAATAGTTTACGTTAGTGCTGGTATTTTTCCGGTGCAGGTGGATTGAACAATACAGGCGCCTTAATGACTCTAGGCATACAGCAGCATGATGATTATGGAAAAAACCTTGGCACTTACTCAGGCCCCTGTAATATTCCCTTTCCTACCCAATCAGAAGTTCAACCAAAGCTTGACGGTTTGGATCTTAAGCTTTGGGGTATGCATAAACACTGTAGAGTCCACTATGGCAGCAGGCATCTACCTGAACCTGAAGTCCTAAGTGCTGAAATTCAGAACGGGAGTGGTCCTGCGGTGCCGAACTCCTTCTTGCTAGTATGCGTTAAACCTGTCGGACGTAACATACGACTTGGGGTGCATATCATTAACAAGTCTATATGATTGAAAATTCCGGCATGCTTTGCACAGGGCTTTGTACAAATGAAATTACATGCTTCGGAAGTCTCATGAAGTTTAAGGCTTACAGGACACGTCGCCAGTTGTGCAAACAGGGGTCGTCGGACAGGGGGATTTGGTCTGCGAAGCTAAAGGTGTAGGTTTCGGGGTGGGGGGGGGGGGGGGGGCTCGTGTTAATCTGGGGCATCGGGCTTGGGTCTGTAGTATTTCGGGTTTACTTGTACTGGGATATGGTTTCCTGTTTCGGGCGTAAGGGCTTTTCTCCTGAGGCAAGCATCCATGCTCTGTCCGGAGTGCTATGTCAAAACTAGGTAAGATGGTGGCTCTTTCTAGGCTATTTCTAGCTTTCGATGGATCCCGCTACGTAGGGTCTACACTGGGTCCGTCACTTTTTGAGACTCTTACATCCTATGCGATGGTTGTATCTTGGTGCAAGCTCTGCATGCACGTGCCTGTTCGCAGGAAGATGCTGTCCTTCTGCGAATCCTGTGAATTCAAAGGCCACATGTGTTGAACATTGCCGCCCATCGTAAGCAATGCTGCTCGTGCATATTGCTGCAGCTCAATAGGCAGGAACTTGTGATGAATAGTGCAGCAGGGTATTCACATCCACGCCGCCCAGGAGCCCTAACATATTGCACATCCCTGGTGCAAGTGCATAGGGTCACCTTGCAGCATACTGACACAAAGCTAGTTGAACGATGCATCCTCAAGCCGAAGCCCTCGACCCTTATACAGCCCTAAACCCGGATTTGGAAAACCGAAATCTCCACAAAAGCCCCAACTGGGCCCCAACTCTAGACCCCTTGACAATGGACCCTGACTCCTGGAACCCAAAACTTCGCAAGCCCCCTACCCTCGACCACTATTCCGAAAACCTGTGGCTCCAGAAACCTACACATACAGCCTCAGGCGTAAAAACACGCAACGTAAATGGGAAAAGGTGTGTGTTCACCGTTGTGCTACTTCTCCTGCTCCTGCTGCTACTACCACCACCACCACCACCAACAACAACAACAACAACTCCTGCTGCTGCTACTACTACTGCTGCTGCTACTACTACTACTACCACTACTACTACTACTACTACTACTACTACTACTACTACTACTACTACTACTACTACTACTACTACTACTACTACTACTACTACTACTACTACTACTTCCAGTGCTGGTATACTTGCGACACTGATGCTTGCATTCGTGATTAAGATCTTTTGACCTTTTGGTCCTTACTTTACCGCGAAATCCCACAACCCGCAATCGGCAATACCGCCTGCTGTCACTTTGGGCATCATGCCCCGGGTTTGGCAACACGCCCAACCCGTCGCATAAGCGCTGGGACTCTCAGAAAATTCCCACGGAACTCTGATTTTAAAGTGTCATTTAGAACGGGATAGGGTTTAGGAGCTTGTGGATTTCGCGGTTTGGGGTTCTACGCCCTGTTCCTTCTGAGGCGTACATATAGGGCTTCCAACTCTAGCATCTACGGGCTGAAGGGCTCAGTGTCAAGTGTTTATAGCTATTAAAAATTAACTATGCGAAAACTATGCTTACACGTACTTTGACATCTAGACTCGGGTTTCGGGTTTCGGAGTCTGCTCTGGTAGAGCTTCTAGGTGCAACTGTCGACGGCTCCCGCATGCGAGAGACCCAGTGATTCCTGGCTCGACGCCTCAACTCAGCCACTGGATGCAATTTTTCCTTGGCTCGGCGGCCAAAGACGTTGAAACCCCGAAACAATCATAAACACTTACACCCCGTTCCAAACACT